TTTTCGATCATTAGAAAACTAAAATAAAAAAATATTTAATCGTAATAAAAAATAACTTTTTGTGTGGAAGATCTATGGATATAAAAAAACTGTAATGCAAAATAATTTTTTTTTTAAATTTTCTAATATAGTAATATTGCTAATCTTTCTATTCTTTTTTAAATGTTTTCTAAAATCTAAAATCCAAATCTGCCAAACGATTGTATCTTTGGTAAAGAAAAGTACGTTGTCTCCGATTTTGCATCTTAAACTATTGTTTACACTAAATAATTAGCATATCTGAAATCACCTCTTTAAACCAATGAGATCGGCACTTACTTCGCGAAAATCTGATTATAAGAAGAAACTGAAAAAAACTTTTAGATAAGATTATGAAGAATTAGAAGACCCTAAAAAAAACCTATTAGATTTAGTTGCTGTAGTTAATTTACGTCACACTAGAGCTGCACAACGGGCTATTGGCGACGGTCTGGGAAACATCCCTGAGGATGATCCGAAGATATGCCATCACAATTCTATTAGATTTAGCTTTTCTCTGATGTAAGATTGATGACATAGACCATGCATTTCTATTTAAAAGCATGTGTTTCTTAATTTTTAACACTGGATTAGTTTTCAATGTTTAGGCTATTTCTTTATTTTTTTAAAAACCAATCTCATGATCTTTTTAAGTTTGAAATACTCCGTATTTGGATACAAAAAACAATTTCAAAAAAAAGAAAAATATGATTGTAGCCAAAATAAGAAGTTTTTCACAATTTTTAAAAATATTACCTCCAACTTTATCTTTTTAAGCATTTTACCTCAGAAATATATCATTATTATATACGTTCCCATTGTGAAATGTTGTGTATTTCGACACCGTGAAAGATTTTTGAAAAAAAAATTTTCTTACGGTTACTTTAAAAATCATACTAAGGACAAGTGTTGTACAATGCGTAAAATAAAGTTTATCAAATTTCAAAAATATTACTGTTTAAAATTCGATTTCTAACGAACTATTCGGTCAATTTCGCTCAAATTTTTTATTTCGCCATTTAAAATTACATTCCTAAAAACGTAGAGAATTGTACACTTTAGAAATAAAAAAATTTCGAATTTTATTAAGTAAAATAATAATAAACATTTATTATATTTAGCATGGAATTATCTTTGGTTAAATGAATTTTATAACTGTGCGCAAAAATTTTTCAAATTACTCTAAAAGTTCTCGAGAGAAACTACCTGCTAAATAAAATTTAAAAAATTAACATTAAGGGGACCCCCTATTTTGGGAGTCAAAAATCTGAATCTGTTGAAAAAAAGGTATGTGGTCTGATCTTGTCTAAGGTTTTTGCCGCTTTTGTGTCTGATTTCGTAACATAAAATATTGTCTGCTGTAATTAATTAGAGTTTATGAGGTCACCCCTTTGAGATATTAAAAATAGAGGATTTTCCGATCAAAATTTATTTATTTTGTGTGCGGACCAGAGTAAATTTTACATTTAGTGCATGTAATTGATACTTGTAACAATAGGCACTATCTGCAATATTGGTGATCATTTATTTTAAAGTTTTCCAGGCATGTACTAGAGAATTTTTTTATTTTATGAATATTTCTATTTTATAAATATTTATTTTTCCATTCAAATTAATGGAAAGCAAATCTTTATAGTTCAAACTTTCAATCAATTTAATACGAAAGAAAATTCGTATGAGGATTCATTCATTCAATTAACAGGTAAATCTCAATAGTTCATTCTTTTGATTCTACAGTTTGTTAAAATGTCCTTCCATTAAGAAAAAAATATGTATGAGATGTTTCCTGAAAGAAAAGATCCATGATTGTAATTACATAGGTAAAGAAAACAGAATGAAAAAATCGTTATAAATTTAGATTATTTTTCCTTTTAAAGTAGTTAACGATCTTCACAAGTTTTTAAATTAAAGTAAGTTAATATGAGTAAAAAAAATGAAAAAGATATACAAATACTGCTAATGCGTAATAACTGCAATAACGTAGACCAAGAGTTAAGACGTTTCTAGTCGTGAAATATATGTACAAAAACTTTCATTTCAATAAAGTTTTGATTTTATCAACATTACAAAAGTTAAAAAACGGGGTAAAAATGACCACTGCCGTGACCAGGATTCGAACCTGGGTTATTGCGGCCACAACGCAATGTACTAACCACTATACGATCACGGCTACGCTTGAGATTCAGCTTGTTAAATAGAAACTTAGAAAATTGTCTACAAATGAAATGCGAATTTTAAAACAATTGGAGCATATCAATGTCATCAAAAGTAATGCATTCCTACTCGTAGTATAGATGGCAGCATTGGAGAAAATTAAAATTGCATCTTAAAAAGACTTAGTTTTAATTTCTATTTATTTATTTATTTTTATAAAAAAATTGTTCTAAGCTTTTAAATTCAGTTATTTAACTACAATGCCATTATTCATCACAACTATATCATTAAAATTAAAAATTATTCAATTAAAATTACACAGGTATTAACACAAGTTTGTTTCCATCGATTTAGATTCAATTGGAATAAGATTTAAAACGACTACCATAGCTATTTCTACAATTAACTTGATTTTAAATTCTAATTTAGATTTTGGTTTCTAAGAAGCCTCGTTAAAGAGATCGCTTAGCAATAGTGGAAAAAAGTAATTGCTTGTTCTACAGTTTAAAAAAAAAATTTTGAATTCTTTATCTTAATTGTATAGCACTCATTTGGAGAAGCAATGACGTAACTGACAATTAGAGTACTTATCAGTTACGTCATTGTTTCAACAAATGAGCAATATGTTGACTGCATTGAATTTTCCTGAAATTTATTACATTAGTAAATGAAGCTAATTTAAAAATTAAATAAAAAAATTACTCTTAGATAATTGCAAAAAAGTTTTATATATCTGTGCATCATAAAACATAGGGGAATAAAGAAATTTATAATTACTTTTTAGAATAATAAATGAACAAAACCTAACTTTCAGTTTTTTGCTTTTAATTTTGAATCATAATAAAAACGAAAATGTAAAAATAACACGAAATAATAAGGAATAATAAATAAATATTTCTAATTAAACCATTAAACAAGGGATAAATAAACGATTTACTAGTAAATGCTATGGTAACAATTTACAATAAAAATCATTTCACGCTCATAACAACCAAAGATATTTAGATTTTAATATATTTCGAATCATACCACGTGATTTTCTAGTCCACTCAGAATAATAATTATCTTTTTAAATTTTAGAAGCTATTCGTGAAAAGTTTTTATTAACTATTCATGGAATTCATGAAGGAAAAAAAAATTACCTACTCTATTTGAAGAAAACGTACTTTATTTTGTATTTCTATCGTCAATATCTGGAAGAACTACAAAGGAAATTATTGTACAATGCACAAAAAAATAAATAAGAAAAAATGGAACATCTTCTAACTTTTAATTATCGAATTTTCACGTACTAGAACTCGATCTTCATGATTCGAAGGTTTATGCTTAACAAAGCGAATTAATCTATCTGCTAATATTGGCGATCATTATTTTATGGTTTTCCAGGCACGTACTAGAGAACTTTTTTTAGTTAATGAATAATTTTTTTAAATTCAATTTAATGAAAAGCAAATCTTCAGAGTACATACTTTCAATCAATTTAAAGAAAATTCGTATAATAGTCCATTCTTTCAATTAATAGGTGAACATCTATAGTTCATACTTTTGAAAGTACACTACTGAGACAGTGTACTTTTAATCAGCTCAAGGGTTGTGCAACAGTTAGCACAATTACATATTCCAGTAAAGTCTTTGCCACTCATAATAAGTAAAAAATTTTGTTTTAGTATGGCTATGTATTTTTTAAATAGTTCAATAAAATATTTTATGAACATATTTTGGTCCAAAAGTACAAGTATTATGTTATACCTTGGATCAGTTTTCAGAAGTGATTTTTTTTTAGAAGTGAATTGCAGAATTCGTTCACAATATAATGATATTAATAAACACGTGTATAATGTATTTCTCACAAAACTTAATAAGCAAAATAATTACTTTTTGTATTTTTTTAAAAAAAAAAAAAAAGAGTAAAAATTGGTCCAAGACACAGCAGTCTCCCTACATTCAAACTCTGAGTGTTATAGTTAATTTAATGTAAATTATTTTCCTTTTTTAATTTAATTTAGAAACTTCATATAATAATGATTATAATTAGAGTCTACAGATATTATACAACCGAAACATATTACACATTTGGTGCATAGCCATGCCAAATCACTAAACTATAATAAAATAGCGATTTCTGCGCTTACTTTAATACAATTCTTGACAATAATTATTTGAAAACACAAAAATTAGGCATTTTAGACAAATAAAAGTATCAATTCAAAAGCTTACAAACAATATGTACATTATAGGAAAGCACCCCCAGCAGTGTACGATGACATTACTAGTCATTGAATACTATGCAATTGTTAACCCTAATGATATGACCTTCTTCAAATAGAAGTTTTTCACAACAATTATGGGACACCTTGTATATAAAATTTGGATAAGGTTTTGTATTAATTTTATTTTCTTCATTCATTTTTTTTGGGGGGGGGGGAATTTCACACTGAATAGAACTAAATATTTTTCAGTTTTACTTAATGTAGGTAAAGTAAAAGTTAGCTGGAAAATTCATTTTTAATACAAAAGGGCCTACTTTAATAGCTAAATATATAAGAATTATGACTAGAATGCATACTATGCTTTGCTTTTATAAAAACATTTGTTCACTATCTGGCAGCCAGAAAAACAAACTTGACATTATCAGCTTGATTTATTGCATCTTTAGGCTCCCTTCGGATCAAATGCCCAGTCCAATAAAGGATCAATAATAAGGTTCTATACTAGTGACAATTTTATGTCTGTAAACAGTCAGAAAGCATTTCTATAAAAACTTTTTATAAAAAGTACTAGAGTGAAGTTTATAAACACAATGGAAATAAACATGAACAATATAAAAATTTGATGTAAATTTTTTTTATTACATTTACTACAAGAATGAAACTACTCAGTAATGTGAACAAGATAGTGAGGAGTTCAAGTAAACCTTTGAGAAAAAAATCTTATTACAAATTTTACAAGGTTTCTAAATAGTATGAATATGACTATGACTACTAAGATGATTTCTGTGTGAAAAACTCTAGTTACAGATTGTACAAGAATAAGGTTTTGCATTACTCATAAATATTAACAAGACGGTGTTTAGTAAGATTACTTATCAGTGAAAAACTCTTATTACATGTACAACAAGAATAAGGTTATTCACCAATATGAACACGGTTGTGTTTATTTAAACTCTCTCTCTTTTTAAAACTCTTATTACATATACTACATGAATAAGGTTTCTCACCACTATGAACACGACTATGAACATTTAAGGTGCTCTTAGTTAAAAATCTCTTATTACATATTGTACAAGAATATGGTTTCTCACCAGAATGAATTCGCTTATGGGCAGTTAAGACACTCCTCTGTGCGAAACTCTGATTGCATGTAGTACACGAAAAAGGTTTTTGACCAGTATGAGTACGAATGTGGACAGTCAAATAAGTCTTGCACGTGAAACTCTTATTGCATATAGTACAAGAAAACGGTTTCTCCCCAGTATGAATACGAATGTGTTCAGTCAGAGAGTAGTTCTTTGAAAAACTTTTGCTACACATAGCACAAGAAAACTGTTTCTCTACATTATGAATACGCATGTGTTCAGTTAGAAAGTAGCTCTTTGAAAAACTCTTATTACATATAGTACAAGAATAAAGTCCTTCACTAATATGAACAGAGAAGTGTTTAATTAGTTCATCCTTCTGCAAAAAACTCTTGTTACAAATATTACAAGGATAAGGTCTCTCACCAGAATGAGTAAGACTATGTGTGGTTAGTAGACGCTTCTGTGAAAAACTCTTATTACATATATTGCATGAATAAGGTTTCTCACCAGTATGAACATGACTATGGACAATTAAGTTACTCTTATACGGAAAACTCTTATTACATACAGAACAAGAATAAGGTTTCTCTCCAATATGAGCACGAATGTGTCTATTTAAATCCCTCTTCATTGAAAAACTTGTGTTGCATATGCTACAAAAGAAAGATTTCCGATTAGCATGAATACGACTGTGTGTGGTGAGATTACCCTTCTTTGAAAAACTCACATTACATACATCACATGAATATGGTTTCTCCCCAGTATGAACATTACTATGATAAATTAGCTGAGAATTTGATGGAAAATGCTTCTTGCATATATTACATGAATAAGGTTTGACACCAGCATGAACACGACAATGGGCAGTTAAGACACTCTGACTCGAAAAACTCTCATTACATACAGTACAAGAATAAGGTTTCTCTCCTGTATGAATACGAGTGTGCCTAGTTAAGTCTCTTTTCATCAAAAAACTCTCATTGCATACACTACAAAAATAAAGCTTCCAATCAGTGTGAATACGACTGTTGTGTCTACTTAGATTGCCCTTCTTTGAAAAACTCACATTGCATATATCACATGAATATGGTTTCTCCCCAGTATGAACACGACTGTGATAAATTAGCTGAGAATTTGATGGAAAATGCTTCTTGCATATGATACAGGAATAACGTTTCTCATCAGCATGAAAAGTAGGTGCTAGCAAGGTGCTGCCTATTAAAACACTCATATTAAATATACTGCCACCCTCTATAAAATTAAGTAGCTTAATTATCTAAAGACTCTTGCATGTACTGAAATTACAAGGTTTTAAAAGGGGCGACTGTTTTAGACCAGATCACAATACATATATTACAAGAAAATTGTTTTCTAAAATGAGTGATTACGCTATTAATCTATACTTATATCACTACCTATTAAGAGGCTTTGAAAGCAAAGCCGATCGAAATATCTAATGTATTATCAATAAATCAATGGTGCATAACCCAATAAATGAATGAAAATCGGTGACATAAGGATCATAATAAAATAACATGTCACATAATTATAGTCCTGCTATAAAACAAAAATTCCTTTGTTTCTTCTTTTACTATGGCAGTAGAAACTAATTTCAAGCTGTTAGATAACAATATTTTCTTGACTATTATCCTATGCTATCTTCAAGCACAATGAAACGCAGAACAATACCTTCACCTTTAAAAGGCAATCCTGAAAAGTAATAAAAAATATATATTTTCATATAATTTAATGCATACTATAGTTTTTAACAGGTATGACAGTTTTCAGTAACCACATTGGTTGTACAAGTTCAGCTATGCAATTATTTAAATAGTTTTTCAAAGGAAACAAGTAGAAGAAAAAAGAGGTGTTATCATCTTAATAAGTTTGAATAAAGCTTCTCAGTAGTTATGATTGAGAAACTGTTGATCTAAACTATATTTAAGCAAATTATTTTTATCATGAAAACTAAATGCATAAAATTCAAAATGTATAGGTATAAGATATTATTACAGTAGGGAACCGATTATCCGGAACGATCGGGACCGTCACTATTCCGGATAACTGATTTTTCCGGTTTTCTGAATCGCTACAAAAAGCCGTTGGTTTATTGTTAAACCTAACAAAAAAAATATGTTTTTTTGAAATTATAATCTTAAAAAGAAGAAAAAACGCTGAAGGAATACACTAATGATTATTTCCAAAATGATGGTAAGGTAAACATCTTTCAAAAAAGAAAACCAATAGGTTTNAAAAAAAATCCTAAAATCTTAAGAGGAAAAAAAAAAATTTTTTTTTTTAAATGGCGGGAAAATTTATTGAATTTCGTTCCGGATTTTTGGTTTTCCGGTTTTCTGATTTCCGGATAACGGGTTCTGTACTGTACTTCTATTCACTTATTTTTATCACAAACACATGATATTATTTCTAATTAGTATGAAGAAAATTATGATGCTTGTTCAAATTTTATTTGTTTCATCTTTGAAAAATTCATAACAGTTATTCAAGCAGGGTCAGATGGGGTAAAAAGGACGGACAGCAAAATAGTCTCATTTTACTATAATTTAGTACCACATTTGTCATAAGAGATAAAAAAGCCTAAATTGTTTTCCTTCATCCAATATCCTAATACCCACCATGGTGATTTTAGCCAACAATCAGGAGATTTAGATTAAAATTAATAACAATGAGGAAAGTGATCCTCTTATAACCATTTGGCAGAATCTAAATGCATTTAATATGGTAGAAATGCACTCAATATAGTAGAAAATTACTACTAAAAAAAATTAGTTTATCTAATTGGTTTCCTAACAGTAATTTATTTCATAACAAAAATCTAATAGCAAAAAATTATATACACTACCGGTCAAAAGTTTGCAAAAATTTTGAAATCTACAAAGAAAAGGTCTAATTTCAAATGTTCATAGAACTGCGAAAAATCATTCAAATTGAATGAGAATTTGATATGTTCTAAAGTGAACCCTCTACAGTTAATTACATATGATCAAATTGCAATACTTTGTTTTTTGCGAACTGAATCTAGCTTTTCATCACAGATTGTTTTTATGGTGAAAAAATTTCACCAAAAATTGAACACTTGCCAAACTTGCAAAAAAAAAATTTCCTCACTTTCTGTTAATAGAAAATAGTTATTCGAACCGTTATATGTAAGCCCTCAAAATTTTAGATTGATTCAATTTTTTTTGACGAAGTTATAGAATTTTGAAAAACATGTGTACTTTTCTCGATTTTTGAGCATTCCACATATGTGGTCCTTTGGTCTATACATCTTCTATCAAAGAGCTTTTTAATTTTAATGCTTTCTATATTTTCAAATAATTAATATTTATTATAAAACAAATACTCTTATTCATTAACGTAATTATTATTGTTTATATTTATTGCTTTTATGTATTAGTTTTGTTGTGATATTTTTACTTTACATTAAATTAAAATAAAAAGTTATAACAATAATTACATAAACAATTCTAAAAAAATAATAACAATAGTATAAAAAATTTGCATTTTTACTAAACTATTTTATTTACAACAGGTCAAATATTACACATATTCTTATTCCCATTTTGTAATAAAATAAATTAACATTTAAATCTTAGATTCCTTGAACCATCCACCTTTTGCTTTTATTATAGCCTTACATATGCGTGGCTTTCGTTCTAACCATCCATTAATCACTTCAAGTGATATACCTAGAGTTTCATTCTTGTTGTAAAATGTTCCTTAACTGATTTCGATTCGAAATATCACAGCATCGTTTGCAAGAACAAAAAAATTTTCAATGAAATGTGACATCCCTGAGATATTGTTTTAATTATATTCACAATAAATTTTTTGCAATAACAATAATTACAATAATGAATAAGAATATTTGTTTTATAATCAATATTAATTATTTGAAAATATAGAAAGCATCAAAATTAAAAAGTTCTTTGGTAGAAGATGTATAGACTAAAAGACTGCATATGTGGAATGCTCAAAAATCGAGAAAAATACACATGTTTTTCAAAATTCTATAACTTCGTCAAAAAAAATCAAATCGATCTGAAATTTTGAGGGCTTACATAGAAAGGCTCAAATAACTATTTTCTATTAACAGAAAGTACAAAAAAAAATTTTTGCAAGTTTGGCAAGTGTTCAAACTTAGCAACTTTTTTCACCATATAAACAACCCATGATGAAAAGCTGGATTCAGTTTGTAAAAAACAAAGTATTGCAATTTGATCACATGTAACTAACTGTAGAGGGTTCACTTTAGAACATAACAAATTTTCATGTAATTTGAATGATTTTTCGCAGTTCTATGAACATTTGAACTTAGACCTTTTTTTGTGGATTTCAAAATTTTCGCAAACTTTTGACCGGTAGTGTACTTTTAAATATTATTATTTTTTATCCAAGCACATTTTATTTATTTCATACAACAAAATACAGAGGAGCTTCTATACAACCAGTTCCTTTAACCAGCACTTTTTAAGATAGCAGTTTTTTGCCCTATTAATTTAATATTAAAAATTCCGCTAAGACCAAACGACCCACTAGAAGCTATTAATTTTCTTGTTTTCTGCTTCAGTTAAAGTAAGCTAAAATGCATTCAAAGTAAGTAGGAAAATTTTCATTAACATTTTCCACCATTTCGCATCAACTTATAAAAGGGTTATACTAATAACGAATTATAATAATAGTGAATAATAATAATAACAGAGGTAATAATAATAGTAGATGATGGTCAAAAAATAACAAAATTTCTTCATGTTTACAAAATAAGACAACAAATTTACATCGTTCATAAATTTAGGTCAGTTGTATAAGCAAATGTTGAAATTTTGAGGAGACTAATTTTCCACATAATAATAAAGAATAGTCACTCTCAAGAAGTTTCACGGTACATAAATATACAAAAAAAACAGGAATAAATAGTACTTAAACTTAAGACACATTAAAAACATCTGAAATAGAGCTTCAATAATTAACTGGGATACCATATAGGTAGCTAGCCTAAAAATATACATATTGTAGTAATAAGATTTTTACAGGCAGTAAACAAGTAGACAGTTGCATGTTAGTAGATATCATTTGGCCTCTTATTCTTGCCCCCCCCCGCTGCCCTTCTCAAAAATAGGCTCTAATATCCAATATGGCATTGAAATCAAATTTAAAGAATGTTCTGTTTCTGTAAAACTGAAGAGAACTTCATTCAATTTTGAGACATGATCAAAAACAAAATTTTCTTATCTGCTTGCTTTACTTGTAGTTCAATTTACACTCTGCGGATGCAAATGCCCCACCAACAATTTTAGAAACAAACTTTTAAAAATTCTCTGCACTTTAAATACAGTCAGACCTCTATTTAACGAAGTCGGTAAATCACGATAAGTTCACGAAAACAATACAAAACAGCTTTTAAATTCATAAACACTAGACAAAATTAAAAAAATAGCAATTGATATACCTTTATCTTGTAAACTAGTATCTACTATTTATTTTATAAATCTTAACCATAAAAGAAATTTGCATGGAAAGCAAGAATAGAGCAAAACATTATCAAGTAAAGAAATTTATCGTTAGCAACAATATCAAGTAAAAGTAAGGTTATATGAAAAACATTTAAAACATGGTAACTTTTAAAGAGATTCCTTTTACTTCCACTTATGAGACAGTACGTAAAACTTCCTGTTTGTGAACATTAAACAGGCACACTTAGCTCTTTATAACTTAATTACTAAAATAAACATAGTAACTAGTATTTATAATGCTCACACTTATAGCGCATGAATCCGGGCTGATTTTGTATCGGTATCTGTCCGCGCCAACTACCATCACCAAAAAGATTCACCTTGAAAAAGTAATAAAAAAATTATAATAATCAGTAGTAGTGATTTCCCAGGAAGTAACTAGAATTATTTCCGATCATTTAATCTCTTGATGTGATTTTGAGATTTCAATTTGCGCGAACAAGCACCGACTATCCACTCACACCAAATTACCACTAATATAAAATTAACAAGCACAAAATATCCACTTATCAGAAGGTTTTCTTACTTCATTGCTGCTACCCCTTCACAAAATTCAAAACAAGTCTCTTTTTGTTTTGTTTTGTTAACAGCAGCTTAAATAAAACAGAATGAACAAGATGTTTTGAACATCGTATACACATTAACAGAAGTACTTTTTGAATTACGAATATAAAAACTACAAAGAACAAGTATTTAAACCTATAGAATATGATTTATCTAAAGAATGATTAAACAAGCCTGCAATTTAGTCGAGCATTTGTTTACAACTTTTAAGGACTATTTCTACCCGCCTATGTTCTCGAATTTCTGCAAGATATCCTGAAACTTAAAGATCATAGATGGCGTTCTACAATTCCAACTCATATAAATTTTATAAGTTTATTAACCCACAAGGCTACCAAGGGAAGAAATGAAGGAGTTAATTTGAGAAAGAGGATTAGTAGCACTTAATGAGATGTCAAAATAGGAAATTAAATCAACTTATATTACAAATAAGTTTTTGTATTTATATCACAGGTGATTAATTTCTTTACGTGTAATGGCGTAGGAATAATACAAATACCGTTGCCTTTTTTTTAATCCATTTTTGTTTTTATATTATTAAAATTCAAACTGCACAATTTGTAATAAAATTTAATCATGCAATATAAAATTATATAAATCACAGTTTCTCTCCTTTTTTTTATTTTATGGGTTATAATAATTTATAATAAGGAATAATCTGACACTGCTTAAAGTACAACTACTATCCTTTTTCATTATTTTGATATATTTTCATTTTAATATCCTGCGGACAGAAGCTATAATGTAGCTCAGTTCTTACCAAATTATTTTTTTTCTGTCTTGAATTCTTTTTTTGTTTTGACGTTTAAGATTTGAAAGAAATTGAAAAAACTCCTTGCGTAATAGTAGGATATTAGGGTCGCTCAATTGTTTTTCTGATAAAAATAATAATGATAATAATAATATCGCTATTCTAATAGTGGGGAAGGAGTTCTTAGCGAGTTCCATAAAATTTTGTTCAAATATTTTTGAATAATATAATATCGTCCGCATCATATTAGAATTTTGGAAATTTTAAAGAAAAATAGTTCTTTTTAATCAGCAAGCAGAAACCCTTAAGCTCAGAGCGGTCTCTGCAGATTATAGTATCTATAATCTAGTATAGTATCTGTAGCAGCATCTGATCTAGAAAAGCAGGGCTCTTCGCACAGGGCTGTCAGAGGCTCCTCGCTTATTACCAAATTTACTTGTTGTTTATGAATAATAATAATAATAATAATGAATAATAATAATAACAGAGATAATAATAATAGTAAATGATGGTCAAAAAATAACACAATTTCTTTATGATTACAAAATATGACGACAAATTTATATCGATCATAAATTTAGGTTTATTAAAATTGTTTTTAAATTATTTATAACAAAAGTAAATTACGATATGTTAGTAAATTTAAGCTTATACTTATTTCAATATTTATTAACTCATATTTCTAATGGACAATTCTTAGGGAAAAACACAAATAGAAAATATTCATAACATTTACGCGCCACCAGACATGTGGGGCCCTATTCCAGGGCCTCACTGGCCTTATAATAAATCAGGCACTAGCAGTTGTAGATTACTTTTCTTTTCGTGTATAAAAAATATTTAGATATTGGAGAAAAACTTGCATAGACTCTTTTTTGGAACATCTTTAAGCTTACTTTTAATCAAAATTATAAAATTATGTTGAAATAACACAGCACCACAAACAACAAAAAATGAAGTTTTTTTTTATTCATTTATTTTATTTCGTTTTATTTAGTCATTTATTTTTATCACTCGATTATAGGCTGTTATCAATTATGGATTTATTTCGTTTTAGAATAGCATTGTGCAATCATTTTTGAATAGCCATCCCCTCTGCAGAGGATCGAAATTGTGATGGCATATCTTCGGATCATCTTCTGGGATGTTTCACAGACAGTCGCCAATACCCCATTGTGCTGCTCTGGTGTGACGTGAATGATCTACAACAATAACAGCAACAGTGGGTACATAGGACAAACCGGGCGTGCAATTAAGATTAAACGAGCACGATAGAAATTTACGTCATCATCTTGTTAGAATCTTAGGCTTAAATTTAATTTTTAATAGTTACATAAGCTTCCTGTTACATTCGCATATCTTGATGCCCTGGAATCTCGTTTCATTCATATTAATGCCGAATCTCTTGTTAACTACATGAGTTCCACACTAATTCTCCACGAAATATGGAAATAAATTTTCCCTGGTTTGCTTTTCCTTATTATGACTGTCTTTTCTACTTCTGTTTTTTTCCTTATCCTTTATTTTTTCATTAGAAACATTGTAGCTTATCTACCTGGGTAAGTACGGCCACCAAGATCTTTGGCGATGCCAAGAGCGTTGATCGTCAGGTCAACTACAAGCTGCGTGGTCACTCTTTACGTTTTATTGGACGCGTGGCTTTTTTAAACATGATTGACAGATAACCTTGAACTTCAGACTGCGTCATTTTGTTCAAAAAGTAAATATAACACATTCATTTTATTGAGAATAAGGATTGTATTTCAAAACCTAATTATAAAATCGCATAAACATTTTTTATTGTTAATAATAATTCTCTTGGTTGCAAGAAAATGTTGTTAAGTTGACGACAAAAAAAAAAAAAACCTTTTCATTCTTCAATAAATAATTTTTTTATCAAACACAAGCATCACTTTTCTCATTTTGTTATGATAATTATTAATTAATCGATTAAGGTACGTTAAGAAATACATTAATATTGGGAATACCAATTGTAATAGCACTTGACCGTGAAGTGTGAGGTATATCTAGCAATACCACTTAACTTTAAAAAAACATCAAAATATCAGTGTATGGGGAAGCAGGTTCCTGTAATTTGTCCCTCACATCAATAGATTAATTCTATTGTTAAAAAATAATAACCAGAAACAGCGATTATTAATAATAACCGTACTCAACATACTAATATTTTCCTTTATTTTTTGTAAAAAAAAAAGAGAATAAAATTTTATAAAATATGCCAATTACTAAAAAAATTAATGGATATTAGGTTTTAATAGGTAGATAACTCTTCAACAAATGAAGAAAAATTAATTACTAAGTTATTACCGACTAATTCACACTTTTCGGAATTAATTGTAGCAACAGTACTTAAACATTACTTATAAATCCTAAATTGTATTACATTTTGTTGAACTGTCCCTGATAGATGCGTAATAGGGGGGTCGAATAATATTTTAGAGGCAATTGAAAGCATTAAAAAAACTCATAGTATCATGAAAAATGAAGGAATCATATTCAGAAAATAAATTTCCAATTATCCAAATTTAATCCAGAGATGGGAGACTTCTGAATTTGATACACATTCATATCATTCCAATGTTTAGTTAAAAACTCGTGCATTGCGCATTGAAGGTTTTATGCTTAAGCTGAATCCCTGGAAGTGACTATTTCACGTTATAGGCAAACAATGTCTTGGAGCTCTTAAGAATAGCTCAAAACACGAAGCATTTTCTTTTAAAAGTAGTAGAGAATCACATTTAGATCAGTTAGGACTCTTGACGCCTTATGCTCTAAGAATTTATTGTCTATTTCAAAAAACTATGGGTCAGAGATATTTCAGGAGAGAAAGAGCTTCTTCCTGACATTAAAGAGATATGGATACAATCATGTCTCGAAATTCCGAACTTCCAAAATGTAATAATGCCATGATACATCCTCAATTCATTTTATGATACTGCTGATTCTGTGACAGAAACTCGCGATTTCTCTGATGCAAGTGATGCAGAGCAAGGAGTCCCAAAATAGTAAGGGCGCCAAAAACATCGATAAAGTGAGCCAAAGGGTGAGTTTGTTGAAGTTCCCTCTTGTTGTAGGGGTTGCATCCATTTAGGAATCAGTCGAAGTGTTGCCTAGCAGTTGCAAGGTGATTAAGAAGGAATAGACATGACGTCCTGATGAGTGATCTTAGTTTCTCCCCCTTATTGTGTTACTAAGTGTAATGGAATCAATTTGTAGTCAAGAAATCTCAATCATTAAAATTTAAATTAACTTTAATCTGTGTAATCGATTTTTAACTCTAATTAACATGATACATCTAATAGTAGTATCACAAGCAAACACGGCTTTGATAATAATATACGCATTAGACTCTTGAAGTAGAATAACATTGAAATAAGCCTGGTAATCTCCAAATGTCGAGTTCTGCACTGGACTGATAATAAAGACACGGTTTCCAGTAGAACATAGAAGTCACACATCATTGCGGTTATTGCGTGGCTGGATGACAACTTTGATCAGCTTGTGATGGACCGCGGGTGTCCGATATTAGTCCTCGTTAAACTATTCCACTATAAAGTTCTCGACCACGTCGTTGAGCTACCAAACAAAGGAAACCCTCCTTTATGCTGAGTTTCAAAGTTGTGATGGAATGCTAACAATTTTTCTGCTAAAGCACCTGCATGTAAAATATTTTCTAGCTGAAATAACAAGTTTAGGCAAATGATCATAAAAGTGCCACAGTCAAATAAGCCAATATATATATATATATATATATATAATTTTATGTCACTGGATTCAAATTTATTGCTGCTGGTACTAAGAAAGAAAAGAAGACTGAAGCTGATATATTTATACCAACAGCAAATGAGTTATTTTCTGGAAGTAAAAGCTCGAGGACTGTGGTAGATAAAAGGTGTGTATTTTGCGACAAAAACCACGAGAGTAAAGATTGTTTTACGGCAGCCAAATTGGCTTACCATCAGAAGCAAGAACTAATTAAGAATAAGAAAGCTTGCTTTATATGTCTTAAGTTTGGACATAAAGCAAAATATTGCAAATCAAGTGTTAAATGTCTAATTTGTGCTAAGAGACATTGGTCGATCATGTGTGCAGAATTATCGCCAAACAAGCACGAAGTAAAAGATGAAAAAGTAATTGATTCGAGTGAATGCCAAAATGTAATACTTGCGAATTCTTGCTGTTCTGGAGAGATATTCCTTCAAACTTTAATGGTAAATATTGAAAGTAAAGAAGGAAAACGTGCTATAAGAGCATTAATTGACACTGGCTCTCAACGCTC